GGCGGCATGGAGGAGCTGAGCAGCGTGGGCGAGCAGGTCTTCGCCGCCGAGTGCATTCTAAGCAAGCGGCTCCGCAAGGTGCGTGCGTCCCCGCCCGCCCCCCGCGCGCAGCCGGCGCTCTGCGCGGCTCACCGCTCGCTCTTCTCTCCCCGCAGGGCAAGCTGGAGTACCTGGTCAAGTGGCGCGGCTGGTCCTCCAAGTGAGTCCCCGGTGCGCGGCCGCCTTCCCGCGCGCGCCTCTCGGTCTGGGTGGGAACGGCGTGGGGACCTTAGCCTCTGGAGTCCCGGCGGGAAGTTCTGTGGCTCGGGATCCGGAGGACGCTGGCCGACCGGCGATGCCCTTTGTTTACGAGCCCACGGGGAGCGGGCAGGGAGGCCTCCCGCCCGGAGTCCCCCGGGCCCGGCCCTCCTCCGCGCCGCGCGCTTCTGGCGCCCATTTGTTGCATGCTCCCCCGCCCTGGAGCTGGCCGTGGCAGGCGCGGGACACGGCCCCCTCCCCTTGCCCAAGTTACCCCCGCTGTAACCTGAGATTCCTACTGGTAGGAGCCCCCCTTTCTCGCCCCCCCCCCGCGCGCTTGCATTCTTCTTAATGAGGGGAAGGGACCTGGCTTTCCCCGGAAGGGGCTTCTTATGTAGCTGCCCCGCAACCTTCCTTCCTGGACCCCATCCCCTCCCGATGCCCCCCTCAAACCCCGTTGCTCTGCCCGCGCCCTCCGTGGTGTCAGCCACATTGTTCTGTCTACTTCCCCAGCTCCCCCTCCCCTACCTGTGTTCCCTTCCCTCCCTGGCTCAGGGCCAGGCTCGGGGGATTCCCTCAGCAGCTTTGCTCTTTGTTGGGATTTGTTTTCTTCCCAGGCGCAGACTGTTGAGTCCCCTTGTGGCCTGCTGGGACTTGGGGCTTGAGGTGGCAGTTTGCCTGTGAGTTTGAGGCTGTGATGCTAACTTCAAGGGCTTCTGGGACCTCAGAGGACTGCCGTGCCACAGTGTCCCTTACCCCCGGCAGGACTGGGAGCGCTGTCCTGGCAGCCCAGTTGGATGCTGCTCACCAACCCTGCTCTTTGCTTTTCCAGACACAACAGCTGGGAGCCAGAAGAGAACATCTTGGACCCAAGGCTGCTCCTAGCCTTCCAGAAGAAGTGAGAACATTAACAGCACTCTGGAGGAGGGGAGAGTTGGGTGGAATTGGCTGGTGACACAGGGGCCTGGGGCTGTGGTGTGAGGCCCATAAGGAGCCTGTCCTCAGGCTTCCTTGGGTGGCTACAGAGGCAGAGCACTTTAAGCCCCACCCCCCAAGACAGCCAGACTTCCAAAATGAACGTTTGTGCAAAGACTGTAGTTTCTCTTGGCCTTTTCTATTGAGTAACATTTTGTCAGCACTAGTAGCAATTGGGGTTACAAGCTTGCCATAAAAAGTCGGCCTGTTCCTCCGACCCTGCCAGCGAGGGCCGTGGTGCAGGAGAAGGCCCAGAGGGGCCTGACACTCACAGTGCAGAGAGACGTGTGTGATGTTTTCCTTGGGCTGGGAAACAGCGCTGAAGCTGCAGGGCTTCTCTTGGATCTGCTTTTGTAGCTGTAGTTGACACTTCTGTTCTCAGGTGGGAGATGTTTGCGAAGACAGAGGAGTGAGTGGGATGGTGTCAGGGAGGATCACTGTCACCCCAGTGCAGAGGTCCAGGAACACGGCCCCACATGGGTGGCAGTCCAGACACCTTCCCGCTGCAGAAGCTGGCTCTGTCAATAGAGGCAGATGGATGGTTTGCTCAGAAGCCTCCCCAGCTGGGGTCAGTCTAGCCAGCCTGTTCTCTGGAAGCCCAGCCTGGGTTTCTCACTGTAACAGGACATTTTGCAGAAGGGGTCGGAAGGGGATAGGTTTAGCAGGGTGAGTGAATGAGTGAGTGTGCTTGCTGGTTTCCTTTAGAAATGGAGAGAGGCAGCATCACCTTCTATTAAATGCATAGCTTGGCCCTCTGAGCTCTGGAGGGATGTCTTGGCGCTTTCTCGGGGCTAGTATGCTTCTCTGCATTTGAGGTGGCATCCTTGGGCCAGGTGCTATCACACACACCTGCAGACCTGCTGCTAGAGAAGCTGACGTGGGGGAACCACTTGAGCAGTTGGAAACCAGCTTGGCCAATGCAGCAAGACCCTGTATCAAAAGGTGTCATCCTGAGGTGGGGACAGCCAATGAGGCAGCACATCCTTCACGTAGCTTTTGGTTTAGCTCCAACAAGAGTCAAAATACCCGAAAGATGCCATCATAGGACTAGTGTGTTTCACAACATGGGATATAAAATCAGGATGGTGTATGTTCTGTCTCTTTCCTGCATCCAGACACATCCCTCTGCACACTAGGAGCTGAAGGTTACCTTCTTGGTCAGGGAGGAACCGATGTGTATAAGGGAGGTCTGAGTCACCACATAGGTGATGATCTGTTGGGAGAGCCATGAGAGGGAGAGTTGGGGGAACCAAGGCTGCCCTAGCCTGGGGGGTTTCCTGGAGGTCTGATCCATTTCTTTATGAGATCACTTTCCAGGACTCCGAGGAGATGATTTTGGTACTTTATTTTGCATTTGTCTCTTTGCTTAGGGGAGGGGAGGCATGCATGTGCCATAGGCCTGAGTTATTCTCAAATTTTTTAACATTTTTTAATGATTTATTTATTCTTATTTTATGTGCATTGGTGTTTTGCCTGCGTGTATGTCTGTGTGAGGGTGTCAGATCTCCTGGAGCTGGAGTTAGAGACAGTTGTGAGCTGTCATGTGGGTGTTGGGAGTTGAATCTGGGACCTCTGGAAGAGCAGCCAGTGCTCTTAACCTCTGAGCCAGCGCTCCAGCCCCCTGTTGTCTATTTTCACCATGTGGGTTTCTGGGGATCAAACTCAGGTTGTCATGCTTAGCAGCATGTGCCTTTACCTGCCAAGCCAACTCACTGGGGTCTTTGTCACCAGGGGTCTTCTCTATGGGGTAGCCTGAAACCTGAGCTTCCATGAGAGGCTGACTTGGTGCTCTTGACTTCACAGCCTTAGCACTGGGTTACAGGGTACAGACTTTGGGGCTGGGCTGATGGGAACTAATATGAGCAGAATTCTAGAGGTATGAGGGATGCCGAAACGGGTGATACAAGTAAGCAAGTTAGCTAAGAGAAGCCTGGCAAGCATAAGCCACACTGGAGTCCTCAGCCCCTGGGCTAGCAGGTCATCCGAGGGTTTCTCGTGCTTAGTACATACTGGAGGGCAGTCTTTGTGAGAATGAGCAGGTTAGACCATATAGCCCCAAAGGCTGCTTTGGGTTATAAGAGCTAGGATTTATTTCCACGGAGGCTTCACCCACAGAAAGTTTTTTTTAATGGAAATAGGAAGGTCCCCAGCCTTGTTCTCCTGTCTTTAGCTTCATTTTAGCCAATTGTAAGTGAAATGGATTGACTGCAAAGATAGTTTGGACCAGCACTCCTGAGCTGGTATCTGGACCTCTGCCCGTGGCTCTCCGATAGGAGTGAGCTCTGCTGGAAGACTGATGATAAGCTTCTGCTAACTGGAGCCTCGGCAGTCCCTTGGGAGCTGAGGGTGGAGGCTGAGGCCGGAGAAGGGTTTGCAAGCAGGGCTTCTCAAAGCTGATTGGTGCTGTATCTCCAGGGAACATGAGAAGGAGGTACAGAACCGGAAGAGAGGCAAGAGGCCCAGGGGCAGGCCGAGGAAGCACACAGTCATGTCCTCCTGCAGCCGACGCGCTAAGCTCAAGGTGAGCGGCCACAGGCTTCGTGCTCTTCCCTTTGGTTCCCTACCCACCCATGCTGCTCTGGGCAGAGCTTCTGCAGGGAGCTGTTGAGGTAGGCAGGCCTCTTTCCTGTTGCCCCTTCAGGCGTCTCCAGTGGGTGGCACCAGCAGGCAGCAGAATGCATGCTCCTCCATCCTGGGGCCTCCTTAGGTGCTTCCTGTCTCAGCCCAAGTCCATTCTTCACTCTGTCCTCTGGGGTGGCAGCAAGCAGCAGGCTTGGGAGGTTGGCCCCACACCCTCTCGTCTTGAAGACTCCATCAGAGAAGCCAGTGTGCAGTAAGTGCCCGGGCTTGTGTCGGAGTTGTGGACCAGCTGGCCAAGGCCAGGATACCAGGCCATGCTGAGTGAACAGACGAGCAGGAAGTAGAGGCAGAAGCAGTGAGGCTATGCTAAGTCCCTCTCAAAATGTTGAACCTCCTTGCTGTGATGATAGAGAGTCCTCCACACACCAGGGGCCTGGGTATCTTTCCCTCTTGCCCTCCCGCATACTGTGAGAGTTCAGAAGTGGATAGGGAAGGGATTCTGTCCTTAGGCTCGGGTGTACCTTTGTTCATTCCTTGGACTTCACTCCCTAGACCTGTGGCCAAAGCAGAAGTGTGGGCCTACCCTGGTGCCACCATCTCCTCTCCTAGCAGGATGTCAGCCAGAGAGGCCCTGCTGGGGAAGCCTATGGTTTCATGGGATCGACGCCTGTCAGAACTAGAAGGACATTGGCATCATCTCCCTGGGAGATTCTGGGTCCATGGCCACATTAGTACCTAAAAGCAGAAGAGTCCATGTGGTACTAAGGATGCCAGGGGAGGCACAGCTGTGACCTCTGATTCTGCATCCTGCTGAGCAGGTTTCACCTCTTTGGACGAGCGTGGCCGCTCCTCCCTGGCTGCTGGGGCCTGGAGGACCCTGGTGCTGCTTGGACAGAGATTTGAGTCCCACCTACTTGTCTTTTCAGGAACCAGATGCTCCCTCCAAGTCCAAATCCAGCAGTTCTTCTTCTTCCTCCACATCTTCCTCCTCTTCCTCAGATGAAGAAGAAGATGACAGCGACCTGGACTCCAAGAGGGGCCCCCGGGGCCGTGAAACCCACCCAGTGCCTCAGAAGAAAGCCCAGATCCTGGTGGCCAAGCCAGAGCTGAAAGATCCCATTCGCAAGAAACGGGGACGCAAACCCCTGCCCCCAGAGCAGAAGGCGGCTAGGAGACCTGTAAACCTGGCCAAGGTGCTGAAGACCACCAGGAAGGACCTAGGGACCTCCGCCAGCAGGCTGCCCCCTCCACTCAGTGCTCCTGTGGCAGGCCTGGCAGCCCTGAAAGCCCATACCAAAGAGGCCTGCAGCGTCTCTGGCACCGTGGCGACCCCAGAGAACCTGGCCAGCCTGATGAAAGGCATGGCCGGGAGCCCCAGCCGCGGTGGCATCAGCTGGCAGAGCTCTATCGTACACTACATGAACCGCATGAGCCAGAGTCAGGCTCAGACTGCCAGCCGACTGGCACTCAAGGCCCAGACTGCCAACAAGTGCAGCCTGGGGCTGGACTTGAACGTGAGGACACAGAAAGGGGAGCTGGGGGTGGGCCCTCCGGGAAGTAAGGTCCTGAAGGCCTCTAGCAGTGGAGCTACAGAGCCGCAGAAAGGGAGCGGTTCAGGAGGCCAAGGTTCCCAGCTGGCCCCCACTCAGGAGCTGAGCCTTCAGGTCCTGGACTTGCAGAGTGTCAAGAATGGCGTACCTGGAATGGGCCTGCTCTCCCGCCACGCCACAGCCACCAAGGCCATTCCAGCCACCAACCCGGCCACGGGGAAAGGTCCTGGGGGTGGCCCCACGGGAGTTAACGTGACCAGCACACCCACAGACACCAGCAAAGGTGAAAAGCTGGCCTCCAAGGCCGCAGCCCTGCCCGCCCCTTCTGTCAAAAGGGACAGTGGTAAGTGCACAGCGGCCTCCAGTGGACAGGGGGGCCACACAGTCCCAGGAGAAGGCCGCAAGGCACCTGCACTGTCCGAGGTGAGCACGGGAGAGGAGAATAGTAGTTCTGACTCGGACCCCGACTCGTCCTCACTCCCCACCACTGGGCAGAACCTGTCGGTGTCTGTCCAGACCAACCAGGACTGGAAACCTACCCGCAGTCTCATCGAGCACGTCTTTGTTACAGATGTCACGGCCAACCTCATCACTGTCACAGTGAAGGAATCCCCCACCAGCGTGGGGTTCTTCAACCTGAGGCATTACTGAGACGTTGCCCAAGGCCAACCCACCTTCCCGTCTCTGGTTTTGCTTCGACGCCTGACCTGGGGGCCAGCTCTGCCCTGTCTGGAGACTTATGGCTGGGAACTGGTTTCTCTGGTGATTCTACCTCTCTGGGCCTCTACTCCACTCTGTCCTGTCGCCTCAGGAAATCCGGTTGGCCGCTGGCTCAAGGCTGCCTGCTTGAACAAAGCTTCTTCAGTACAAAGCCCTCCTTGGCCTATTGAGACCCTCCCCTCCCTTAGAAGCCCAACTACTATCAGGTGGATCTGGGGAGACGCATCATCTCCCCAACCCAGTGGTGGGAGAGAGAGAGAGAGCAGGCCGGACCTTCTCCCAAGCCCAACTGTGACAGGGCCTTTGTGGTCAAGTGGGGATTCCATCCTTGGCAAGTGAGGCTGAGGAATTATAAAAGGATAATTCACGAAGTTGGGTTCAGGGACCTTGCAGAAGTCTACAGAACCCTGTGTAACTCTTCAGAGTGTCTGTCCCTGGTGCAGTGTCATCTCTGGCCGCAACTGTGGCCCCAAAGTCCAGCCAGGGCCTGGAGGGTTTCATCCCAGCACTCAGATGTACTTCGATGCTACTGGGTTTGAAAACAGGAGTCCTGATGTCACTGCCGCCTCCTTCCTGCAAGCAGGCCCAAGCCCCAGTGAGAAGTGACCCTGTTCAGCCCTGGATCCAGACCTGCACCCCTGCTCAGGCCCAGTAGAGTGCACCCCTGTTCTGAGGGCTGACACCCAGAGAAGGCTGAAGTCGGGAGCTTGGAGTCCTGGGCAGGCAGTCTTCCCCACTACTCGGGAGTTTGATTACTAGGGCCAGATAAATCACCCTAGTAGCTCCAGGGCAGGAATGCAGGCACTTCGCAGGCCTGCCACCCTGATGCCTGTCTAGACTGGGTGTCTCTAGACTGTCACGCAAACATCTTAGTTGATTCTGGTGCAAAGCCCTGCTACTGAGTGGGCCATTCTTGGGTACCATTTCCCCAGACAATCCTCTCCCACGTTTGGGAGCTGTTGTTTCCTTCCTAGCTGAGAAGCAATGTCCCTGTGCCATTTATGTGGTGGGACAGTTTGACAGCCTGCCTGGCAGGGGGGCCCTAATTCCTCCCTCATCCTCAGGAGATAGTTCCAGTTCTGAGCCCCTTTCTAGATGCCTTCTCCCTGTCCCCCATCCCAGGTAGCTGTCTTAAAACTACCTTGTCAGATTGCTGGCCAATGTCAGGATTTCTTTCCTGGAATATCACCTTGGGACCATGACAATCTGGCCAGTAAGTCTGTGATGCCAAAAAGGGGGGTGGGGGTGGTATGGAACCCATGTTTCTACTTATGCCATTGACTGGTCAGCCGGCGCGTGTGGACTCTTCATTCCTGTTGCCTTGAAGGGAAGAGTCCCCTTCCAAAACCAGCCCAGACAGTGGGCTGTGGTGTCTGGGACCCGCCACACTTTCAAAGTGCCCCCACCCCCCAATAGCTCACCCCACACACCAAATAAGAGACGGTCTTTGTGTGACCAAACCGACCTCAACACTGTGCCTTTTGGGACAGCCCCATATCCATGGCTCCTGAGAGAGGCCCTGTGATGTGCTGCAGCCTCTGCATCCAGCACCAAGGGACCATGCTGCTGGCAGCAAGAGCTGCCACTGGAGAGAATCCAGGGCCAGGAAGTGGGTAGCAAGGGGGAAGAATTGCCTACTGGGCTGTGAGCCTCCCTCCCTGTCCTCAGCCAGGGTCCTTTGCTGCCTTACCCAAGGTTTGCAGCTTCTTTTGTACCAGACACGGCCTTACAGGCACCTCCATGCCTTTTGGGGATCGCTGAGCTGTTGGAGAAGTGACCATGTTTGGGGATCTAGGTTGACTGGCATTGTCCCTCCTGCCGGGTCTCCAAACCCCAGTTTGGTGCCTTTATTTTTACCAGTTATTTCAATCCCAAAGTTGAAATCTACAAATACCTTCCTCCCAGCCACTTTGCCTTCTTGTGGTGTGTTTCCTCCCGGTGCTGTGATCCCAGTGGTCTGTGTTACAAAGCATGTGTGTGGAGTGTGCCCACATGAGAACCCGCTGGAGAGGCACACCACATGCTCCGAGTTGAGTTCTCATGTTTACCAATAAATAAAAGTAGTTGCTTTTTTATGTTTTTTATTTGCTGCTACCACCCCCGTGAGAGAGAGAGAGTGTGTGTGTATGTATGTGTGTGTAGCTAGGCATCAGTTACACATCTGACAAGATTCTCGTCCTAAGGGTCCCAGATGTTGTGTGTCATATTTTCATACCAAATGGATATTTTTTCAAGATAGGGTCTCTTCTAGCCCAGGCTGGCCTTGAACTTCTGGCAGTCCCTCCTCAGTCTTCCTAGTGCTAAGATTACAGGCACCTTTTTGTCTACCTCTGCACCTGGTAGGGAAAGTGGCCTGTCTTCTTCCTCCAGAGTATTGGTTTAAAAGGAAAAATCTTTGGTACCAAAAACTGTCCCTTTTTGGGTATACTCCAAATTCCGACCTTGATTAGAGAGCACTGGTCCTGAGGTTTTGTCAGGAAGGAAACGTTGAACTCTGAGCCAATGTCAGTCATTAGCTTGGTTTCTTTAGCTCATGGTTTATGTATGCCCCTTTAAACAGGAGCTGTTTGCTTTCCTAGGGAGTGAGCAAGGGACCCTGGGAAAAATCTGTGTTGGAACAGAACAGTACAGCTGCTAAGGAAATGCCTGCCTCAGGAAGTCCCTCATGGTCTGGGGTGGGGTTAGAGTAAGGCAGGGTGGTTCCTATAGCTCTCTTTACCCAGATGCATCTCACAGTTCCAGAAGTTTCTAGTGACACTAGCCTAGATTATAGGACTTTAGACTGATGTTAATTTATTTTGCTGGGGAAAGACAGTAAATGTAGGAAAATTCTTGTCTTTTTGCTGCCCTTAGTATCAATAAATATTTTTTTAAACTTTTGGCTTGGTGTACATTGTAAGTAATGCATATAAACAAAATAGTCTTTACTTCCCCTTTCATGGGGCAAAACGCCCATCTGGACATGGACATAGCTGTAGCATTGGAGGGGGAAAAATGGAAATGGCTTAGCCACTCAGAGGTGGGAAGGGATAAAAAGACACCTTTGCAAGGAAGGGACATGGTTTTAAGAGCAAATACCTATACCAGTGATGAGTGGGAGGAGGCATGTGGAGTGTCCCATGATGAAGGGTGCTACCAGTATGTAGTGCGCAGAGACCAAGGGTGCCACACAAAGTAGTCACTATAAAAAGTCCAGAACATCCAAGGAGCTAAGTTTGAGAAAGCCTGGTTTAATGGGAAAGATTATATATAATTTTTGCCCACTAAACATTACTGGGCAAAAGGAATGTTACAGGCCTCCAGCCAGTACAGAAAGCTGCCGTGATACACTCAAACCAACATCCTCACCTCCACCGTTCCCAATGAGGCGGGTTGGGAAGCTATTAGGAAGAGCAGGGAGCTTTGAGCCAGGGGCCACTTGGGCTCCTGATTCCAACTAATGAGAAGGAAGATGCACTCAGTACATAACCTTCCCTAGTCCAGGACTTACATTCCTCTCTTAGGCATGAATTTATCAGAAATTCCTCTGGCCTCCCAGGAGAATAGCGTTTCCTTTGAAGTGTAAGGAAGATGGACCTGCAGACCCACCACTGGCAGAAAGGCTAGTTGGGACTAAGGTTCTCTCTACAGACAAACACAAAACTTGCTGGAGAACGGCCATCATGTGTGACACCCAATTCTTGATTCTTGCAAAGCAGGCGCCTGGCAATTTGATTTCTCTTTGGTTGTCTTCAGTGCCTGTTTCGTCTGGAGAAGGTGGATGGGGCAGTTGGATCCCAGATCTGTCCTCAGGAAACTAGCTAAGCTCAGCAGGAGCAGGTGCTGGTTGGCCAGCTAGGCTCTCTGATAACCGTTGTCTACAAGGACAAGGTCTCCAGACCAGAGTTGGGGGTTGGACTGGTCTACATCGATCTTTATTAATTTATTAATTAATCTGTGCTGCCGATTTGATCACTTAATCTACCTCAGTCCTAAAATAGGCACACTAGGACCGAATGGAGGGTACCTGTTAAGGCTGGTGTAGCAGGGCTCTGGGACACCACGTCCCTCCCCTCTACCCAGCGTGGGTCAGGCCGATCCTCAAAGACACAGAGATGATGCCTGGCGGTGCATGGGAGGAGATGAGGCTTTTCTCTGCTCCTATCCAGAACCAGAGCGGGGGGCGGGGTGGCACTTGGGACAGGCCCTGAGTCCGTCACCTGTAGAGGGCGCGCGCTTCCCGCGAAGTTCGGGCCGCGGGATTTTGAATGTTGGTGGGGAGGAGGGCAGAATCTACCCGCAGTCCTAGGCTGTCCGGAACTCAGTTGTACGCTCTACACCCCTGAGGCTCCGAGCAGCCCCCAGCCGACTCAGTCTCCCGCGGTAGAATGAAAGCCCAGGCCTCAGCCTATGGCTTCTCACTACTGTCAGCCAAATTTCCATCTTTGATGGCACCGAGACCCATCGGGCTCCCACCAATCCACCTCTGATCTGGAGGAATTTTTGGTGTAACGAGGAAAGCCGTGGATGCACCCGCAGAGAGCTGGAGCAGGCTTACACACCATTGGCGTCCAGGGCACAGCACCCGGCCTCCATCAGAGCTGTTCGCTGCGAGCATCAAAGAGTCAGAAAAACAGCTCTTCGCAGAGCCGTAAGTATTCCATTCCACCAGTGTTTGTGTTGGGCCAGGCTCAGCTCCAGCAGCGGCTCGAGCGGGTCCTGCCCACGAGGACATATGGAAATCCGCCCGAGCCTTCGAAGGCGGCCGGGGCCAGCGGTCCCCACACCCCGTCTTTGCTCTCCGGGAGAATCAGTCCAGAAAACTCGCTGAGGGAGCTCTGAGCCCAAGTTAAAGAAGCGGGAAATCCCGCGGGGTCAGTGCGGGTCTCCTCACTGTATTCGTGACGGTGGGGGCCCCCACTGTAGGGCTGACTGCTGAAGCCACTGGCCCAGACCCCCCGCTAATGGCCGGCTCCTTCCAGTGGGCCCAGCTAAGAGGCTACCCGGCTCAGAGCGCCTTGAGGTGGCCTAAGAAATAGACCTTGGACCTCTTGGCGCCTAAGACCCTACTGGACAAGCTGACTGCTTGGCGTCCGAAGGGCACACTCCGTGACCCGCTGAGGCAACCTCAGACCTCAGGCGTCGACCCAGGGCCTCCCACACAGGTCACTGAGCTGGAGGAGGGAAGGGGGCAGGGCTCTGCCAACGGCCTGGCCACTGCTTCCTGGGCCAAGGGCAAAAGATGTGACCGGGCCCACATCGGGCCTCCCCTTGGGCTCTGCGGGTTCTGACAGGTTGAGGCGGCTTCTTCGCAACGGAGCGACCTCTGCCCGGGAATATGGAAGTAGAACCGGGTTCATTGTGAGGTCCTCTTTGGGAATCCGGAGTGTGGGTCGCGTTTGCAGCCTCACGACCCCGCCCCCTCCCCAGTCGGCAGCCTAGAGGACCAAGAACACCCACCACGAGCTAGCACCCCTCGACAGCCCCTTATCCAACCTTGGGGTATCTACCCGAAAGAACACCAGGTAGTCTAGGAAGCCTTAGGGACTGGGGGTGGGAGCGCAGCGCAGCGCGGGGCTGAGGATCGGCGGCTCCGGGTTCACTAATCACATCAGCGCGCTCTGCGCCGGCTCCAAGCAGGCAGTTGCCTAGCAATACCCGCGAATTCAATTCCTCAATCAATAGACGGAGGCTCTGCATTTCGGGGAGCGCTGGCGAGGCTGTGGGGGTCTGGGGCACAAGTCCTACGACAGCATAACGGAGTAGTGCTCGGGTCACGGGCAGGAGTCTGCAAGGCTCTTGGGCTATGGATCTCTGGCACAGAAGCGGGTGTGGTGCTGGGGGGAAATCCTCCATCAGAGTAAAGGAGCCCAAAGTCGCACATATCATCTCCCCAAATTCTACCTGGGTTCCACAGAAGTACAGCCAGTAGTGAAGACAGCCTCCCGGGAAAGCTGAGAACAGTCATGACTCGCTCCCTCCCCAACCCACCATCCCTCACACTCCCACAGCGAGTTTCCTAATTGGGAAAGGGCCTTTTCGGGGAATCCAACCCTACTTTAGAGTATGGGGGGCGAAGGGAGAAACAGTCAGTGAATAGTGAGAGCGGAGGCAAGTGTCCTTCCTTTCCAGGCAACCTCTACTCTGTTCTGGGAAATAAATAAATAATGAAAACCAAGACACGTGTCTATTTACAAAGTATATATTTAAACACGTAAAAAGTGATACTGGATACAGACACATTCACAACCCAAGAAGATAGGTACCGAAGTTTCACTCTTGAGCTGAGGCGGCGATCAATTCGAGATTTGTACATAACTGAGAATTCATAAACCCAACAGCGTTCTGCTCGTCTGCGTTTGCAGACTCGGAGCCACGTGGCCCCAGACCCCTGCCCACCCCACCCCCAGGTCAGCCTCTCAAGAGCGAGCTAAGGAGACACACACAACGGCCATGGACAGATGGCAAGACGAGGGCAGAACCAGGAAGGCTGGAGGGAAGGAGGGTGTGAGAGAGGAAAGAGAGGAGAGAGAGGAGGTGGGTAGTCAGGTAAGGGACTCCTGTCCCAGAGTTATGGTCCACTCTGTCACAGATGTGCCCTCCAAAGCAGGTTCACCTGAAAATGGGGTCGACATCTAGACAGACACACGATCAACGGCGCTTCTTTATACAAAGTCAAAAATACCAGTTTTACAAATATGAGCAGATAAAAATCCCCATTCCAGGGGCTTCTCTTTAGGCGCAATTTGATTTTCAAAAACAAATAAAAACACGTAGAATACACCGTTTTTTCCTTTTTTCTCCCTCTATTTAAAGGCGAAGAAAGTCTGGAGGGAAGAGAGATTGAGACTCTGGAGATGGGGAGAGAGGAGGACGGAGGACGAGGCTGGGGTCCTTCTCAGTCCCTCTCCGTTACCAAGCTCCTCTAACCCAGCCCAGAGTCCCCACCCCACCCCCAAAAGTCTGTGCTTCGTCCCACAAGCAGAGCCTGGCACCCCTCCCTCCAAAAGCACTGGAAGTTAGATCGCCTGCTGGCCCTTTAAGGGCGGAGAGGGCGGAGAGGCCGCAAGATCCCTGCTGAAAGGGGCGACCGTAGGCTGGGGGACAGATTTGTGCTTTTGAGTCGGAGCTGCGCGAGGCGCCGTCCGGAGTGGGCTGGGACCAGGGGCGCAGAGGGTCGTGGGGCGCCAGTCGTCCTCGGTTCCGCCCGCTCCACCTCCCGCTCCCCCACCCTCTTCTGAGGAGTCTGAACGTCGAGTTCACGTAGCGAGCACTCCGAGAATCGAAAGGGGCTATAAATTACAGCTTTTGCTTTTAAGAAAGGGGAAAGGGGGGTAAAAAAACTAAACTTCTAATGCACATTCTTGGATGGGAACCCCGCCGATCCCTTCCGCCCCGAGCCCCACCTGACCAAGTTCCACTCAGGCTGCGACCCCCGCTTCCAGCTCTACCAGCCTGGTGCGCAGCCCGGGGCCAGCCCCGCGGGGTGGCCTGGCGGCGGTTCGTCCTTCAGAGAGCAGGGCCCACCCTCCCCCGACGAACCAGGCTTGTCCAAGTCTTCCTGGGAGGTGGGGCCGCCCTGTCTTCTGGCAAAGCTTAGAGGACGCGCAAAGGAAAAGTCCACCCGAACATTTTTCTTGTAAAACAACTGTCTGGTGCTCTGGGCACTGACACGCAATCCTCCCAATTTATCCTGGCATTTCGGGAATGTAAACAAATTCGCTGGATTTCTTTTTCTCTCTGGAAAGTAAGGGAAGGAATTGAGGGAACGGGGAGATTTTTGTCCACATGACACACACACACAATCCGCGTGTACGGCACTCATATCTCCCATAAAGTGCATCTTCTTGTGTGGTTATGGGAGAACTGCGCCACACCCACTCGCGACTTTTTCTACCTTCAACAACACGCGCGAAAAAGTTATTTAAGTTAATACTTTCCTCCCTAATAGACCACTTAATCTTTAAAAAAAAATAAAATAAAACATAAAAAAAAGAGAAAGAAAAAAATAGAAGAAAGAAAACTGGGCTGACCCCACCCCCCTTTTTCTGATTGGGAAGCCAACCTTTTGTTGGCCTAGCTGGCCAATGGGAAGGAGAGCAAAAATCCTGCCTGGGTGCCAGGAGTCTGGCACTGGGAATGGGCGGTAGAAGGAGGAGGTGGCCAGCCGAGTCCCGCCACACACCCTCCCGAATCCCAGTGCCCAGGCCCCCAACTTTCCTAGTGCCCTGCGGGACAGGGCCCCTTCTGTACCAGCTCAGTCTGTCTTCCCCTACCAAACCACAATCTCTCTCTCTCTCTCTCTCCTTGTTTAAATAAAAGAACTTCAAGAGTTGAAATATATATATTTAGATATTTTTCTTAAATAACATATTTACATCTAATAGAAAATAGAACTCTAGATAATTTTCCAACCAGAACTGAGAAAGGAGGAATGACAGGGACTCCAGGGAGATGGTATGACGTTAAGGACAGGACCAACCAGAAGGCCACAGCCACTCGGAAATAAAAAGCACTAAGCCACATTTGAGCTCCCTCTCGCCTGCTCTGGTCCTGGGCTCCCCATTCCCAGCACTTCATCTTTTCTCCTTAAAGAAGCCTTGGTCCGTGTTACTCTCCTTAATGGTGACGGTCAAAAAGTTTGAGGTCACATCTGTGACAACCACCTTCTCCAGGTTAGTCAGGGAGGGGCTCCAGGACTCTTCCTCTGGGTCCCCCAAGATTCTGGCCACTGGGATCCTGGCGATGAGGGAGGGCCTTCCCCCTTGGGCCCCCATGTCCCGATACAGGCTCCCCACTGAGCCTGGGGTACCTGAACTATGTCGAACCCTGGGGCCACCAGGATCCAGGGCACCTTGGCCTTTGGCCTCCAGGAAAGCAGCCCTGTGCTTTATCACCCTGGCTGGAAAGGTGTCCACAGCCATCTTGCCAGAGGCCTCTGCTGAGCTAGGACTGGTCACACCATATTGTACCAGGTCTGAGTCCTGCCTTCGAGCAAGTTGGATCACGCTATGGCCGGCTGGGAACTTTCCTGTCCCAGAAGAGGTGTCATCCAGCTTTCTGCCTTTGAGGTATTCTCCAAGGCCGTCACTGGGCTCTCCCAAGGGCCTCTGTGAAGGGTCTAGGAGCTCTTTCCGGGGCTTGGGTCCTCGTTTCTTAGAGCTGTCCCCTGGCGAGCTGGGCTTGTCATCGACGCGGCTGGCACCTCTTTCTCGATCCCTTTCTCGATCCCGGTCCCGATCCCGAGGTGGATCTGCCCTGCAGGCACTGGTGCTGCTCCCTGGTGGGGACAGACCCGTGTTCCGAAGGCCCTCTCGGGCCCTGGAAGTAGATGCCAAATCCTGTGGTGATCGGCCTGGGTAAGGGATCCGGATGCCTCTGGCAGAGTCACTTCTGAATTCATAGGTCTTAGCCTTTGCCTTGGCCTGGGCCTGAAGAAATGAGGCAGCAGCGTGAGGAGAAGAAAGTGGAGCCCCGCCCCCCACATGTCCTCCAGTTTTGACTGCCCAACTTCCCCCAGAAGACTGGGAGATTCTAATCGGGTGGGGAGGTGGACTTAATGGTTGTAGTGTGGGGGAGGGGAAAGGGGGTTTGTCTGGAAGCAGCCATATGCAACCAACACACTCCTTGTAATCCATTATAGGTCTACTTGTGATGGCCAGAGGGAGAAATAAAGGCCTTCTGGTGTAGCTAAGTCCCACCTCCTTGACGCTACCACTGACTTGATGCCCTGCAGTCAGAAGACTCCCAGATTACAAACAAGCATAGAGTATGGACACTCATTGGTTCACAAGCCCTCCAGGTTCCCTGTGAATGTCACACTCCACCACTGGAGACTGCAACATACCTTGAGAAGAAAGGTTTTAGGCTTGGGTCCTCGCTTTTTGGGGCCATAGAGCTCCATCTCCCGTTCCCTAAAGAAAGAAAAGAGAAAAAAGGGGGTGTGTCCAGGCTGCACTGAAGTCAGCCTGTATGGGTTCCAGGGAGTGGCTGGGCTCAGGGTCTGTACCTTTCCTCAAAGGCTGCAAGCAGGCGAGCATCCAGAATATTTTCTTCCGGCTCCCACGTGCTGTACCTATAGGAAATCAGGAAGAATGTGGCATCAGTCCTTGGAGTAAGGAGAGAGAGAAGGGAGCAGAGGGCGCGTATGTGAGTGTAACTTTTCCGGCTGTCTTGTGTTGTGTTTCAATGTAAAAGAGGAAAAGAGGAAGAAAAGAGCCCTCCTCAGTATCAGTGTGGGGTTGCGACTGCATATAACCTACTTACTTCTGTGACCAGCCCTTCCATTTCACGAGGTATTCCATGCGTCCCTGCGGATGCAAAAGGGGAAATGTGTGTATGTGCGTGGAGGGGAATGCAAAACGAGGACACAAGAAATACACGCGAAAATGCATGCACCAAATGAATGCTCCAAACAGTACCGCCAAAGGCACCAGCCCGCTGCAGCACCCCTACAGAAACGCTGCACAAAGTGCATGCACCGGCATTCATCCCCCACCCCGCCCCCCATCCATGCAATCTGTGCACCGCTGCAAGTCTAAGAAGAGCGCAGGGGCTGAGCCGCCGCCGCTGCCGCCGCCACGGCCGCGGCCACTGCTGGGACCTGGGGGAAGGGAGGCTGGGCTGCAGCAGGGGGAGGGAGCCCGGGCCCTGGGAAGGGAGGGCCCGCCGCGCCGCCGCCCGCTGTCCCCGTCACCTACTTTGCGAATGCGTCGCTTCAGGAGGGCTTCGGCCGCGAACACCCGCTCCCCCACCGCCGAGAGCTCCATGTTGACTCGCCGCTTCCCCCCTCGGCCGCTTCCAGGAGCAGAAAAGCAGCAGCCAGCGCTCGACAGCCCATAATACTCTCCGGCTGACGTCAGTTCTCCTCCCTCCCCGCGCGCTCTCCCTCCCTCCGCCCCCGCCCGGCGCTTCCTCCCGCCCCACGTGTTGCTAACGACGTTGCTAAAGCCGAGCGGCCTAGGCCTGTTCTGCGGGCGCTGATTGGACTAGCGCCCGGCCACGCCCCTCTCCCCGTCTCCCCCGCGTTGCTACGTGACCCGCGTTCCAATCGCCAGGGGGCGGAGTCTCCGTCTACTCCAGAGACTTGGGGAGGGGGGGGTTGCCGTCAGCGGAAGTGACGCAGGGCGGGGCGGGCCGGGCCGCTGTCAGTCTGCAAGGCTGGCCAGGGGGGCCGCTGCCCTAGGCTCCGGTCTCCGGCCCCCTGCCCCGCCGCCCAGCGGTTCCCCCGGTGCGTGGAGTGTCCCCGCCGAGCCCTCTAAGCTCCACGCTTAGGTCCCAACCAGACACCGCCCCTCTGCAGACCCAGGCCCTCCCCACTCGCCTCTGCCCCAGCCGGCGCCATCCCCATCCCCCGCTGCTGGCGCAGCACAATACACAGGTACTGGGGCGCAACGGGCCGCGCCCGAAAACCCCCGGACCTACTGCGCGCTCGCGCCGAACCCACTGGTTCCTTGACCCCTCCCTCGCGGCCGCGCACCCTCGGTCTCCATAGCAACGCCCCCTCCCTCCATCGCCAGTCCCATCCCGCTAACAAATCAATGTGCCTGCTCTGGGTCTCCAGTCGCTCAGCGCTGCCTGCGCCCACCCTCCGGGCCCTGCGAGCCGGGCTGGCGTGGGCACTTCCCCGGGCTCAGAAGCCCAAAGCAGACTAGTGCAGGCCGGTGGTTTCCACCTGAGCCCACCCTGGACCGAGACCCTGCAATAGGGGTCTCGTGCCTCCTCTTTCCACCCCCATTGTCCCCAAGTTGCAGCCACCTGCCCCTACCCCAGCCTTCGCCTCCCTCCCACTCCACTCCTCGGCCCTGGGAGAAGTTAACCCTGAGCACATTTATATCGGCCTGGGTGGGTTTAGTGCGGCCGTTGACCATCAAGGCAGAGCCTAGAGTTCACTAGTTCGGGAAGGGGGTGGGGGGTGTGAGCGGCTGGGGGCGCGGCCAGCCTGCTCCAGACCTGGGTGCAGAGCTAAAGTACTTCCTGTCTTGGGCTCTTCTCGACGACGTGCGCGGACACCCGACAAGAAACAGCGGCGTGGAAGTTGAAGGGAGTAGTGGTATCTACTGCAGCCTTGAAGAGAGGGTCCTCCCACGCGAAGATGGCGAGTCCCTGATAGGGGGCGAGGGTCGCTCAGAGGTCCCTCACATACGTGCGTGAACTTGCTGGCCCTTCATCCTAAGCGCTCCTTCTTCCGCTCTTCGTAACCCCAGTTGAAGACTGGAGGTTCAGCAGCAGCTACCCCCACACTTCACTTTTACCACCCAAGCTCCTGAACACAGACCCCACTCCTTGAAACACACAATTTAGTTAAATCGCGAAAATGCAAACAGTTTCCCCTGGCCAGGGAGGAGATAGAAGAAAGGGAGAGAGAAAGAAAGAAAGATTACGGAAAACCAACGACCGAGCCAAGGAGTCTGGTTCGAAGGACAGGAGACCCAGAGCGCAAAGCTGTCCTCAGGTCCAAGGGGCCGCGCACCTCACTTGCCGGTGCTGGCCTTGGGGCAAGCGCGGAGCTGGGCTGCACGGGTCCTCCTCAGGACTCCTTGCCTCAGTTTCTGGCCTCCAGTTTTTGGCCTCAGACCTTGACATTATAAGGTGTGCTCCAGGTGAGGAGTCCCATCTCTCTGGTTCTTAACGAACAGCTCATCCACGACGCCCAGATCGCCCTGGTGACCCACGCCCGCCGCCTTCAAGAGGCCGCCGACGGCGCGTCCTTAATCATAAAAAGTCATTCCCGGTAACAAATAGTTTCGTCGGCCGGTGCCAGCGATACAGCTGTTTCTGTTTAAGCTTAAATACTTTCCAACAGTTTGGGCAGTAAAAATAAAGTCGGCCTCAGCCGCCTATAAGTGTCTGGTTTCCCCGCCCAGAGAAAGCCCACCCTAGCCCTCGGCCTGGGTCGCTGTAGTCGCTCCGCCTGCCTGTGCTTGGAATCCGCTGCCCGCCGCGGGCGTTGGCTGTCGGGCCACCCTAACCCTGAGCTTAGCGGGGGCCGCGGCTCTGCAAGCCTACTTCAGGGCCACCTAGAAGCGAGAAGCAGGGAACCGCGTGGAGTTGGGGGTGGAGGCAGGAAGGATCCGCTCTCCTCATCGCCTTTTCCCACCCCTGGGAAGTTTGCCCGCCAAGAGAAAAGTGGTGGTTTCCCTTCAGCTTGGGTTTCCAGGAGAAACGCTGTCCCCAGGTTGTGCGTGCCCTCCAGTGCCTTCATGGATCCGGGGTTTTCAGGAGGCTAGGCTCATCGGTTGCTGGTTTCAGTTTCACCGAAAAATCTTCAGCTCTCTTTCACTGCTGTTTTACCCCACTCTCCTTTCCTGTCTCTTCCTCTTCTCATTCCCTAAACTTTACTTCTTTACCTAATTAACCTGAGAAGTCTGATGTGAAGAAAGGAAGTCCCTGGCTCTTGCTACCGCTGATGGAGCAGTGATGGCCTCTGGTTTCTTAGTTCCATTTGCCCCGTCTTTATGCTTGAGGGTAATTCTTTCCCCCCTACAGCTTGCTCAGTACAAAATTAGTGCTTGGGAGTTGTCTGAGTTGAAAGCCTGGGGGTTCCCACAGAGCCCATTGCAAAGTTGGAGCTGGATTCAGGAGCAAAGGAAAAGAACAGAATAATCAGAGGTCGGAGGAAACTTGGGTCCTGTCCATGTCATAAGAGTATGGTCCTTCCGTGGGTCCTCCCGGAGGAGGTGGGATGTTCCCTTTGCAGGAACTAGAACAGGGTTGCAGTGGTGTCAGATCGGTCTCTGGGTGGCCTCACCCCTGGACAGTTTAGAAACAAAAGGAAAAGTGGATGTCTGAGGAATGGGTCCGGTTAGGTAAGAATGGGAAGATGCCTGTGTGTGCCAGGAGGGGGCACTAGCATATGCCCTCATTCCAACCAAGTCTGGACCGGATTTGGACCGCTCAGTTGTTAGCGCAATCCTTGGAACCAATGCAACAAGGCTTGCCCACAGTCCACCTTTTTTTTTTTTTTTAATTGAAACCTCCCTTGCCCACCGGCTCAATTCTCCACACCTCTCCTCCACACAAGGCCTTTCCCCTTTCAAGTTAGAAAATCGCTGTTCCCTCGTTCACCTCCCAAAACTAAACAAAAGTTTCAAAGAACAAGAACCCGCTCTAGTTAATCCCATTTCTAGGCAGTCGCTGCTGCTGCCAGGTTTGCGTGCGCCGCCTCTGCAGTAAATAAGGTAACTGCTTCCTATTACTTTAGCCCATATGGCTGCAATTTGAGTGTCTTTGGAGACAGTGAGTGTGTAGGGGCGGGGACGAGGGGGAGAAACGCAGGGGGGAGTGAAAGTGGAAATCAAATGCTCTTAGATCGCATTTTTATGAAGGAGATTGTCTGCGATTCTCTTAACAGCTCCCGGCTCCCAAGATGAACTGCCCGGTTTCTTTGTTTACAGAATTGCAGGCACCCGCTTGCCTAGGGACACCTGCTACCGCAACACACACACACACACACACACACACACACACACACACACACACACACACACACACACACAAACCACCTTGGGCTTATTCCTCACCGGTTTAGGTGACGGGGCACTGGGCTCGCCACTGCCCTTCTCCACCAAGAGCTCTTAGTAGGGGCAGAACGCCCGCCCCGTCCCTCCCAGCCCACCGAAGGTGCCTAGACTCCCCTGGAGCCCGACTTGTACTGCAGGCCTGCGTCTGGGGCCACTTCGGCCTGGTTGTGTCCGCTGTCCGTCGACTCAGCCTCCCGGGAGGGAAGCCCGAGGTTGGCGCGGTCCAGGGAAAGACGGGCGCTCCGGGTTGGGCGCTCAGATTCTGGGTCGCCGGCCAGACCAGCAAGCCCCAGCGCGTCCGCCAGCGTGAGGCTGAGGCCAGGCCTCGGCTAGTTCTTTGGGTACGTTTCAATTGCGCAGCTTGGCGGGAGTCTGACCTGCTCAGTCTTGGCCACGCGCACGCGGGCTGATCTGGAGCTGTGAAGTGAGCAAGAGCGGCTCCGAGGCGTGGCCTTGGGGATCATGGACTTTGCAGCGCCTGTGGCCCGTGGCTGACCTCCTGACGACCTGGAGCTGGATCTGCCCGCAGCGTCCACTCCTGCCTGCTGCTCCACAGCCAGGACTGTATGCCTGCTGAGTGGATTGCCGCCTGCCGCCGGAAAGTGGTAGCGACTACCCGCTGCTCTAGATAGAGGTCCGAGGGCTTAGACTGTACGGGGTTACTAGGATTTCTGGAGGAAACTTGTCATTAGTTGTTCCAGAGCAAGTCGGGCCTTTTTTCTGTTCTACAGCCTCCCTTCACTCCCTCCTAGGGACAAAGACTGGTCAGTGCTGAACAAGAAGGGTTGACCACCGGTACCATGGGGAGGGGGGGCCTCCACACACACCACTTAACCTTTAGTATCTTTCCCCTTAGCCACAGGACACACACGGACACGGACACAGACACACGTGGACACACACACACACACACACACACACACACACACACACACACACCCTTCCATAGAGGAAAGCACCCCAGATTAAGCCCATCTATTGAACAGTTGCTGTGGACCTAACCCTTGCCCCAGCCGCTCAAGGCATCCAGGGCAGCTCAACTATCAACTCCCTATCTATAAGTAAAACTGGGACACACTCAGGCCAAGGCACATAGCACAAAGTTTCTGCCTGGGAACTCTTAGGATGGGTAGCTCACGCCCCCTTCACAGTAGGGGCTTGGAACCCTTGGGATATTCTAGTTTCCCCCTGGGTTCAGAAGGGGCTTTAGGTCACATCCTCAGTTGGCCACACAAGCCTCTTAGCAGAGCCTTCAAGAAAAAGGTGAGAGGTTCTAGAAGCCAGTCCATCAAGCTGGAGGCTGGCTGTGGGTGGAAATCTTCATAGTTAAACTACTGTG